TTTTGTTTTTTTGTTTTTTTTTTGACCTGCCATTTGTAAAAATGAGTGATTTCAGTATTGTGTTTCATAAGTTTTTCAGAAGAATTTGATCAAGATTCTCAGTTACCTTTCTGGCGTTATCTTTTTGCAACAAAATTTGAAATGATAGATGTGTCAGGAGGATACAGCATTGAGGTCTGTTACTGAAGGCATAGGACTAACTCGGTGAATTAGCAGAAAAGAATTTTAGGTTTTTCTCGTGATAGATTATGATCAACTAGTACCACAAGATTTTTAACTTCTTTTTCTTCGTCCAATGCTATGCAATCCTCTGAACCAAACATGCCACAAGTGCCTTCTATCTGTACTGAGTTTCAAGCTGATTCTTTATCTGCCTTCTTCATGTGTAGATTGGACAAGGCACTTACAGCAATGTTTACCGTGCACGGGATCTGAAAACTGGTAAGATGGTTGCCCTGAAGAAGGTAAGTTTCGATAATTTTCAACCAGAAAGCGTGAGATTTATGGCGAGAGAAGTTATGATTCTACGCAAACTTGACCATCCAAATATCATGAAGTTGGAAGGCATCATCACTTCTCGATTATCATGTAACATATATCTTGTTTTCGAGTACATGGATCATGACCTCGCTGGGCTATTATCATGTCCGGATATCAAGTTTAGTGATTCACAGGTTTATATCTATTTTTGATTTTTGTTGCTTCTTCACAGTAGCATGCTTTATCGATCTTCAATTTTTCTTGTGGTTCGTGATGATGTTTTCTGAATTCATTTATTCTTACGGAAGTAGATCAAGTGCTATATGCGGCAACTACTGTGTGGAATAGAGCATTGTCACTCACGAGGTATTATGCACAGGGATATTAAAGCATCAAATATTTTAGTAAACAATGAAGGATGTTTGAAAATAGCAGATTTTGGGCTAGCAAATTTTATGAGAGTAGCATGCTTTATCGATCTTCAATTTTTCTTGTGGTTCGTGATGATGTTTTCTGAATTCATTTATTCTTACGGAAGTAGATCAAGTGCTATATGCGGCAACTACTGTGTGGAATAGAGCATTGTCACTCACGAGGTATTATGCACAGGGATATTAAAGCATCAAATATTTTAGTAAACAATGAAGGATGTTTGAAAATAGCAGATTTTGGGCTAGCAAATTTTATGAGAGCAAAGAATAAGCAACCGTTGACCAGTCGTGTGGTGACTTTGTGGTATCGCCCTCCTGAACTCCTACTGGGGTCGACAAATTATGGGGAATCAGTGGACGTATGGAGTGTAGGTTGTGTTTTTGCTGAACTTTTTATTGGAAGGCCTCTTCTAAAAGGCAGAACTGAGGTTAGGACATTCTTTTCAGTCTTAAAATGCATAACTGTCAATATTTAATTGGATTTTCCTTCATTAAAAATTGAGATTTTGCGTAAATATCTTGGATCCAATGATCATTGCTTGCTTACTTCCCAAATCTTAATTTTGTGTTAGTAATCAGTTAACATTCATATTCTTCTTGTCTATGCAGGTTGAACAATTGCACAAAATCTTCAAATTTTGTGGTTCTCCACCTGATGATTATTGGAAAAAATCGAAACTTCCTCTTGCCTCCATGTTTAAACCCCATCAACCTTATGAAAGTACACTTCGAGAAAGATGCAAGGAATTCCCAAAAAGTGCAGTAAACCTCGTAGAGACATTTCTTTCCATTGAACCTTACAGGCGTGGTACTGCTGCTTCTGCTCTTGAATCCGAGGTAAAAACGATGGAAATATTTGATTGACCCATAATTTCTTGTTAGATCTCATCAATTTATATTGTTTATCAATTCCGTTTGAAACTTGATTGTGTATTGGGCTTTTTGCCCATGCTGGATGTTTATATTCCATCTGTTTGTCTCTGAACTTTTTTCCAGTATTTCACTACCAAGCCTTATGCATGTGATCCATCATGCTTGCCAAAGTATCCACCGAACAAAGAGATTGATGCTAAATTCCGTGAAGAAGTGCGAAGGTGAAGATTCTTGTGCTTCTTTTCTTTCATATTTTGTTTCTTGAAAGGTGCCAATTTGATTAGCAGTAAATCCAGAACTGCTAGCAATATGATAGAACCATCTAATTTCGGCAAATTGACTCTATCTGAATTGCATTTTCAGGAGGAAGGTCAGTGCCATGTCTATGAAAAATCCAGGAAGAGTGCATAAAACTCATCAAGATCCAACTAGTTTTGGCACAGTAATTCCACCTGAGGTTCTCTCACACTATCTCACGCCCTCCTTCTTTGTCTCTCTCCCTCTAAGCGGAGTACAGATTTTCTCATTCTCACTGACTCATCTGGCTTGTCTCCATAAAGGTCATAGAGGCCAATATTCAAGTTGGTCGAAGACACCAGGGTGGAGGTTCCCATGTCTACAAGGGAGGACGAGCTACTGTGTCTCAAATGTCAGCCAAGGCATCTTATGATACAGTGTCAGAGGCTTCTCAAAAGACAAATGAATCTCAAGCAGATAGCGTTAAAACAGTCCCAGTTCAAATAACAGCATCTAGCGGCTTTGCATGGGCAAAAAGGCGAAAACAAGAAGCCAGAATGACAAGATTAGGTTATCGTACTTCAAGAAGTCACAATTTGGGTACAAATTTAGGTACATTAGGCCTATCAGGCTCAATACATCCACAAGATACTTTAGACGCTGTAGTCCAAGAGTGTGACGATATTCCTGGCAAGGTCCGATCTTACATCAAAGGCCCTGAAGAGAACACCAAGCATGTGACCTTTAAACAACAAGAAATCCTGCTCCATCGACAGGATTCTTTTGATCCGCCCGATGCATACAAACCTCAAGAATTATCAACGGTAAGCCACATTTCCTTGCTATCTAGCACTAATGGTGCTACAACACCAGTTTATGTGGCTACACTCGATAGGTTCAATTTTATGAATTATGTGACATTGCATTTAAGTGAGTATATTATTTACTGACATGCAGTTGTCACTTAGATTGGTGCTTGACACCAGTGATGTTGAATCTCATTACTCTTTCTTCAATGTAGCTAGGCTAGATTCAACATTATGTGCATTTCTATTTCATCAGATTTTCTCTGGATTTTTTTACAGCATCATAATAAGTTGAAAGGGAGGGGTGGATTCTCAGGGCCACAGTTATATCCATCTCAAGGAACAGAGACGAGTATGGATGGTCGGCCTCGTCATGATGTTCATAGATCACGGTTTTCCTGAGGTAATACAGAAACTAACAGCATGTTTGGCACATAATGAAAATGAATGATATGATTGTGTTTCTTCAGATTTGTATTAAACGCCATCAGATCATGCATAACCGCAGATTGCACAATGCTGCATGGACAATGCTCTAGCTCTCCACGATCTTTTCTTCCCGATGTTCGATTTTATAGCAACGAACTATATGAAGACAAGATAGTATGCACAGAAAAAAAGAGATTTCCTTCAAATTCATACGTAAACGAGAATATCAGAATAGCACAAAAATGTTAGGTACATTGTCGATTCCTATCAAATTGGTGGATCATTTTGAAATATTTTGCCTGAATGGTGACAACAAAATGTAAAGATTAGCCTTCTCACTTCTTCTCTAATTGTAACTAGAGATGCCTCCCAACCTACTTTTCCATTTACACTTCTACTGTATATCTAATTTTGAAACAATGTGAATAATATGAGTTTGAAAGATTGATTCTTAGTGTCAACTGATTGGTTTTCGTCCGCTTCTTGAAGTAAATCGACCACTTCTCGACTTTTTTAATGGGTTTCAACTTCTTGATTGCTTTACCTATAACTAGGTCGATTTTTGAACCCATTTTCCTTTTTGCCCGTTGAATTAGCTGGTCTTGTTTTCGGGCACTTAACTGTAATTTTAAAGAGCATGCTTGAACGGTTTAAATTATAATATCTAAAAATTGAAATATTGAAATAAATGCACAAAATAAACCAGTAATTTTTCGGCGACGTAAAATAGTAGAAAACAAGAACAAGAGAAATTGCAGGAGAGAAAAATATAGGGCAATCCCCTCGCTGTTGCTGCAAGCTGAAGCAACAAAGCAGCCAAGGAGTCCCCAATCGAATTATGTACGCCCGTCGCACCAACGTACGCCACGATTAAATGAAGCCTCTCCCGTCAAATACCGCGCCACCTATTCTTTTGCAAGGAAAGCGCTCGGCAAAAGGTCGTGCTTCCTTTTCTTGCTTACTTGAGATGAAAATCAGATTTTTAGTAAAATGTGATAAAATTTGACGGAATTTATGGTTTAAAAGTTGTGAACCTTGTAAAATATGTAATTAAACTAGAAGAGGAGCTATATATATTGAACATACTCCACTAATTTTTCTTATTATTAATCCAAGATCTGAAAAATTTATACAACCAAATCATACACAGTATATTTACAGAAAAAATCTAAACCACTGGATCAAGATTTAGATCTTTCATTTAGGCTCAAACCATACGCCCTTTTAGACCATCACAGAGGCACCGAACTCAGAAACACGAGCCCTCAAAACCCCAAACACAAAGTCGCTTCACTGGAATCGAAAATAGACAGACCACTTCCAACAGTTTACTCACACAAAGGAGACTAACACAAGGACACGATTATCACAAAGATAATCAAGAAAAAATCTCACACAGAGAAGAAGAAAGAGTCACAAAGACGAAACCCTTGAAGGTTCCAGAAGACGTAGAGAAAAACAGAGAATAGAAAATGACGATCCAGCTGCCAAACAAAGCAAAGGGTCATATTTATAGTAAAACCCATCCACCGTTGATTAAGTGGGTTAATCCAACGGTCCAAAAGCGACTAAGATACATGGGCTGAATATTGGGCTCGGTTTAAGTAGGCCTTCTAGGTATATTAATAATGTACCATCTATTGATTCCATATTGGGCCTTTTTCATTGCTGCCTATTAGTTGGACTGATCAAATGGCATCGCAGTCCAACAGATCTCCACCTTGATGCCAATGATTATACAAGAAGCCTAATAAATGCAAAACACAATTTAAATGTCATTCTCAAGAAGACAGCTTCCCAGTATTCTCAACAAGCATCAACCTTAGCACCTGTACAGAACAAAACACTTAACCAGCATCAATGTTCAAAATTTGTAAACAAGACTTAAACTTGTTTAAAGGTATTACCTTAGTACCTACATCAGCTGGATTAAACTGAGTTGCAATTTTCTCAAGTAAAATAAGTTCTTTAGAAACAACATCTCCAATAAAATGCAACTTAACATCAATGTGTTGGTTCTTTCATAAAAAACAGGGTTTTTACATAGGTGAATTGCACTTTGACTATCTGAATATAAGACAACAAGGTTACTCAATTCATTTATTTCAGATAACAAGCCCTTAAGCCATAAGGCTTCTTTTATTGCTTCAGTTGCAGCAACATACTTAGCTTCAATAGTAGATAAAGCAACAATAGGTTGAAGTTGAGATTTCCAACTAATACATGTATTACACAAAGTAAACATACAAGAAGTAGTAGATTTCCTATTGTCTCTATCTCCGGCAAAATCTGAATCTACAAAACCCTTAAGTACAACACCTTCATTACAGACACTAAAAATCAAACCAACATGTGAAGATCCTTTCAAGTATCTCAACAACCATTTTAGAGCAACCCAATGGTCAGGTCCTGGATTGGCCATACATCTACTAAGTGTGCTAATGGAATGAGTTACATCAGGCCTAGTACATACCATAGTGTACATAACGGAACCTACGGCATTAGCATAGGGTACATTTTCCATTTGTCTAATGTCAGATTCATCTACATGACATTGCTCCTTACTAAGTTTAAAATGACTGGCCAATGGAAGTGAAACAGATTTAGAGTTATGCATAGCAAACTTAGTCAACATTTTTTCAATATATGCAGTTTGCTTCAAGTACAGTAACCTATGGTGCCTTTTCCTAGTGATTTCCATTCCTAGAATTCTCTTTGCATGTACTAGGTCTTTCATTTCAAATTCAACACTTAAAAACCGTTTTATCTGATTAATAATATGCATATTCTGATCAATCAGCAACATATCATCCACATAAAGAAGTATAAAAGCAACAATAGCATTTTCATCATTTCTTTTAAAATAAAGACAATGATCATATTCACTTCTTATGAAACCAATAGCAGCTACAAAATTATCAAACCTTTTGTACCATTGTCATGGAGATTGCTTTAAACCATATAATGATCTTTTTAACAAACACACATGATCAGAATTAGTTTCATCAATAAAACCAGGTGACTGTTTCATATAAATCACTTCATCAAGGTCACCATGCAAGAAGGCAGTTTTCACGTCCATTTGTTCAAGTTCAAGATCATAATGAGCAACAAGAGCAATCATAACTCTAATTGTTGTGTACTTTATCACAAGTGAAAATATCTCATTATAATCTATGCCATCTTTTTGCGTAAATCCTTTCGCTACAAGTCTAGCCTTAAATCTTATGGGCATCTTTTCAGTATTTTCCTCCTTAACATTAAAAATCCACTTGCAATCAACAAGGGTCTTACCTGCAGGTTTAGGAACTAAAGTCCAAGTCTCATTTTTCATTAAGGAGTCCATCTCATCCATCATAGTAGCATGCCATTTCTCAGACTGCTTGCAGCTCATTGCCTCTTCATAAGATTTTGGTTCTTTAAACACTAAGTCTTGATAGGACAAAACAACAAGTGAAAGGTAATCCCCATACCTAACAGGCTCTCCTACTTCTCTCCTAGTCCTATCTCTAGCTAATTGGTAATCTCCCAATTCATCAAGCTGACTTTTCAGATTTTCTTGAACACTTTCCTCTTCATTTTCTAGAGGACCAGAAGCTGTTTCAGCTTCTTCATCCACCTGTTCATCACTAACAGGTTCAGTAGGTAAGCCAAGCTCCACCTGCAACTTGGTATTATCACCCCTTTCATCACCTGATAGCCCTTTTGGCTCCTTATTTTCTAAACAATGCATTTTTGACTCATCAAAAGTAACATTTCTGCTAGTGATGATTCTAAAGCCTTTTACCTCTTTACTCCATAGCCTATAACCTTTAACCCCATCGGGATATCCCAAGAAAATACATTTCTGGGCCCTAGGTTCATGTTTTTCTATACTGTGATGGGAATAGGCGGCACAACCAAAGATCCTTAAATGAGAATAATCAGGAACATGTCCTGTCCATAGCTCTTCTGGGGTTTTATCACCTAGAGCACTTGAGG